TGTGGATAAAGCGCTTGGACTCCAAATAAGCCATTCCTTGAGATATTTGTATCGCGTATTCAATGAGTGTTGATATCGATGTGTGTCCGCACTCTTTGCGTAGTCGATCCCTTAGAGAGCCTTTACTCGCGAGCTCTGTGACCATCATCATCGGTGATGATAATACTATGCCATACAGTCGGATCAGGTTGTGGTGACTCAACTGATGCATTGCATTCACTTCTTTCTCAAAGTCCTCCAAAGCTGTCGGTTGTGCCAACACTTCTTGCTTTAACACTTTGACCGCAACCTCTTTGGTCTTACCATCTGTTAGAGTCCACTCACCTCTCAATACAACCTATTGGTACCAACATATCATTGCATTCATTAAAATCATTCAACCTTTCAATGTATTACAGTATAAACTTATCGCTCGTACAGGTACTATAAATTAACAAATATATAAACATAAAAACTAATTTATCAGTAATATAATAAAAACATAAAATAATAATAATCGTTGAATAATCAGTATAAAAGGGTATAGTATTATAATAAGTGCTGTGTTAATGGGATTATTGTTACAGTAGTAGAGATAGTAATTTAATTTATCAGTAATATAATAAAAACATAAAATAATAATAATCGTTGAATAATCAGTATAAAAGGGTATAGTATTATAATAAGTGCTGTGTTAATGGGATTATTGTTACAGTAGTAGAGATAGTAATAAATTTTGGTGATTATTAGGCAGATATTGAATATCATAAAATTATTATTAAAACATCATAAATATCTCAACACTATTTCAAACCTATAAATGCTTTTCACTTGTAATTTAATTTAAGAAATAAATTAATTTCAATACTCAATGCAAATAAGCGCCAAAAGCACATAAAACANAAATTATTATTAAAACATCATAAATATCTCAACACTATTTCAAACCTATAAATGCTTTTCACTTGTAATTTAATTTAAGAAATAAATTAATTTCAATACTCAATGCAAATAAGCGCCAAAAGCACATAAAACATAGCGATTCTTACCCCAAAGGACCCGTCACCTAATTTGTTATATGTCTTGATGTCTTTGCTTTGTATCAAACACGTCAACCCATTGGCAGATGAGGTGGATGTCAATGAATTCCTTCTTGGGTTCACCGCATGAGCGGTGCGTTTAGATGAATGAGTGGACGACGAGATGGATGACTTGGGAAGAATCAGATTCAGGATGTGTTTCCTCTTGCGGTCCCTAATCCTGGTCTTGGCGGCCGCGATGAGCCTTCGAGCTGCCGGTGCGCCCATCCCTACCCTGGGGTCCGTCAGGTCGGAGATAATCACTTTGTCGAAGTGGTCCACGAGAGTCACGTGAATGGCTTGGATGGCGTCCAGGAACTGCTCCAACTGTACCTCAACCAGCAGGTCGTACAGCGAGTCATCCGTCTCTGTGCCCACACTAGACATCACCGATGGATCAACTCTTCGCCAATCACTCCGATATAAGCGCTGTGTTTGTCTTAAATGGCAAACATTTGTCTCGTATTGCAGTCTATTTGACACGAAATAAGGTCACAATCACTCACATCATAACAGCTATGCATTGAATGTTCAATAAATACCACAAATATTATGATTACTATTATATCGAGACTTCAAATGAATTTCCAAATCAATTGTTTTGCGAATCAATGCATTGAATGTGAAAAATAAATATTGATTTCAAATGTAATACAAATACAATGCTTGCGATCGTAAGCACTGTAGACGTAATGCAATCAGTAATTGAAGTCTAAAACAGTATTAAATGAATTCAATTGAAACTATTGTTTGACATTTGAGTCTCACTTTCGCAGTAATTATACGTTTAATTCAATTATAGCTTTCATTACATAACAGTTCACTCGTAGCTGTGTTTACATTAGAGAAAGTATACGAAACTATTTATAGACAACTGTTTATTATTGCTGTTAAAAGGAAGTCATCACTCATTCAAATAGTGTTGTCATTCAAGGGGTGTATGTCTGCCCCCTATTCCTTACTTAACTTCTATATTCAGTGCACAACACCTCAACATTAAACAGCATTATTATTGCTGTTTAAAGGAAGTCATCACTCATTCAAATAGTGTTGTCATTGAAGGGGTGTATGTCTGCCCCCTATTCCTTACTTAACTTCTATATTCAGTGCACAACACCTCGACATTAAACAGCAGGGTGTATTAAATGCCAATTATTTGTAACATTATTCGTGACCTACTATTAATGAATTGTCAAATGTACAAATCGGATTCATTCATAAATTATAGACAAACTTTAATTAAATATTTGTAATTATGTTAAGTTTTATTCATATTAATTGATTGTCAAATTAACTATAATGTTAAGGCTTTATGTTTGAATCCATTTGATTGTAAAACACTAATGAATGCATTGAGTTGTATGTGATTTAAGTGTACGTTAAATATGGGCTCTTATTCATATTAATTGATTACCAAATTAACTATAATGTTAAGGCTTTATGTTTGAATCAATTTGATTGTAAAACACTATTGAATGCATTGAGTTGTATGTGATTTAAGTGTACGTTAAATATGGGCTCAAATTTAAATGCTTTTTATTTAAATTGTTGTTTACTTCAAGATTTACTTATTTTTAAAATCTTGTGTTTATTTTAGATTTGAGATAATTGTCACGTTTTGTGAGACATTTGCCATATATTTGTGATGAAGTGATTGATTGGTCTTTGAGTGCATTCATTGTGATCTCAATTAAGGCACAAATACTGTAAACAAGCGATTGTTTGCATCAATGAAGTGACACTTGGCTTGCAATCAGAAAGTGATTGCATTTTGGTTTGCCATCACTTGTGACCATTGATTGTCTGCCACCAGCCATGGATAGGATGTCCAGCAATCGACACAAGCGTTTGTCACAACTGTCTTCGGATGTCAACACAAACACGACCTCAAGTGTGGGACACATGACTAGTATTGATAACAATTACGCGGAACCGCTGTATCAGACCAGACATGATCTCCACGACAAGGATCTCATTGAGACCAGAGCTCGAGTCCTGCAGATGGAAAAGGTTTGCACTCTTGAGACATGACTTGAATTGGTTTTGATTGATATTTGTTTGTTTGCATTCAGACCATGAAGTTCTGGAGCGACTGTTTGGCCAATTGGAGGGGTATTTAAACCATCGGTTTATGTATTGAATAAAATGTTTGAAACTTTTTGTGTGAATCAGAAAAGTGGCGGAAAGTGAGGGACGAGAGGAACAAATGTCGCGAAGAGTCGCGTGTTTTGTCCAATAGATTGAATTCAATGACCAAAGAGTTGTCTGAAGCCATGCGACAAAAGAGCGAATTGGAGGCCAAAGTGGAAACTCTTGAGCAACGGATCAAATCAATTGATATTTTCTATAATAATAATAAGACTAATGATTTGGACAAAAGTACAAATCTAATAGATATCAGAAAGTATTCAAACAGTATTTAATGTTTTAATCCAATTGTAATTTATTTGTTGTAAATAATGTATAAATGAATGCAAAATAAACTTAAATTTTTAATAAAGTATTGATTTTTTGTTCAATGAGTGCATTGTATCGCATAACTTGAAAGGGAGCCAAATATCATATATGATACGGTGTTGCCATTGGTTACCAACACATCATTTTCACAACACAGCGTTTGGAAAGAAGTTTGCAATAATAGCCGGTTTAGTTAGCAAGGATGAATTTATATTTTTCATTAATCAATCATTTGTCTCAAATGCTCACTAATTCTTGAACCCGAGCCAACCCTTAGCATAATATTCTGTGCATATTCTCTGCACAAGTAATTCACTATAATCTTAAGCCTCGCAGTGAAGCCTATCTTTTGTGCACTACTTCCTCACGAATTTCATGATAATGTCCGCCGAAGACAACGTTCGGGTTGTCATTAGATGTCGACCCCTATTGCAAGACCTCGAGTCCGGTCAAGATGTTTGCGTTGAGGTAATGCCAGTTAAGAGATGTGGTGTCAATGCAATCATTTACTAATTAAAGAATTCTATGTTTGTATGACTCGTAAAATCCTATGCTATCTATGGTTAACAGCTCGACAACGATGGACAGACCATTCGTGTGGCGTCCCGACAGTTCACGTTTGACACAATATTCTCAATGGATTCAACACAAACAGATGTCTTCACGCATTCAGCTAAACATATCATTGATTGTGTTCTTCAGGGATATAACGGTAACAATGGTTTATAGCATATACTGAAGGTCTGAATGTATTGTTTGTTCACTTTTAGGCACAATCTTCGCTTACGGACAGACGGGAACCGGCAAAACATTCACGTCATCAGGAATTATGTCCGCATCTTTTGATCACATCTTTGATCACATATCTAAGAGTGGAAATGACACCAAATTCTTAGTCAGAGCCTCTTTCTATGAGATATACAATGAAGAGATCAGAGACCTTCTGGTGAGAACTGAATTGTATCCAAACGAGTGCTAATCTATTAATTACTATTTTAGAGTAAGAATAATACAAAGCCATTGGAACTGAAAGAATCGACACAATGTGGTGTCTATGTTAAGGACTTGTCCTG